CCCCCCCCCCCCAAACTGCCATCCTCCCCCCTAGCCCCAGCCTGGCCGGACTGGAGCCCTTTGTGTCCCTGCTGGGAACAAAGGACCGTTTGAGCGGCCACGTTGGCACCGGCCCCGACACTCGCGGGGGCCCCACTCCCTGCCGGGCAGCAGCTCTCCATGCCTGCACCCCAAAATTGGCTCCTGGGGCTGGCCCAGGGTAGCGTCCGGCCCCGCAGGGCTGTAGCTGCCCCCCCCCCGCCCCAGGAATCCTGCCCTCGGATTTGGGGCTGCTGGGTCACAGCCACACACCTCCCCTCCCCGGGACACGGGGTGACGATGCTGAACCATCCCCACTGCCAGGTGCCACGGGGAAGCCCTGCCAGCCTCTGCCAGCCACCCCCTTGTTTCTGTAGGGCCTACACAAACACCGCACCACCCCACGGGAGGGGGGATCCCCAAGCTTAGGGGGGGTGACAGCGCTGGCCAGATGGCCCCGAGGGGGTGACAATGACCCTGTGACCCCGCAGAGGAAGGCAGGCAGGCAGCCAGGCCTCCCCCGCTTCCTTCCTCCCTGCGTGGTCCCAGCCCCCTCCCCACACCCCCCACAGAGCCCTGGGGATGCCATTTTGGAGGGGGAGAGGGGGGGGTCACCCAGCCCTGCAGTGCCCCTGGGCTGAAGTGGGATGGCCGGGATGGGGAGGGGGGGGGAGCGGTGCCCCCCTTCCCTCCCCCACCCAAGCCTGGCAGCCCCGTGCACACAGATGGCAGCGCCTTGGCAGCCGGCACGGCGGCATCTGTGCCTTCGCGCCCGCTGCCCACGGGGCGCTGCCGGGAACAGGACGCTCTGCGCGGGGGGGGAACCGGCCGGGGAGGCTGCCTGCGGCCCCACAACCGGGAGGAATTCAGGGTACCCCTGGGGGAGGCACCCCCTCCCGCTGCAGCGGGTCAGCTGGGACGCGGTGGGATGCGGGTGGGCATGGCTGTGGTTTGGGGAGGACACTCCGAACCCTGGGAGCATCCTGGAGCCCCAAGGTGCCCCTCCATCCCCACATCAGGACATGGGGTGATACCGGGACACCCAGTGCTCAGCCCCACATGGGTGAGGGGAGGGCTGGGGATCCCTGCATAGGGCCAGCGGAGCGGGATTCAGCCAAGGGAGGCTGGACAGAGGGACCAGGGCACCCCGTGGGCACCCCAGCACGCAGGGCCGGGCAGCACATCCCCGGCAGCGGTGACGGGTGCTCCCGGCGCGGTAGGAAGCGGCCTCTGGACTTTATAACTCATTTCCTCACATGGCTGCCAGGCAATAAGAGATTGGAAGAAAACTGGTTTCCATTTCCCCCCGCCCCGCCAGGGAACCTCAGCACCGCCCCGGGTACCCCTGCACCGCCCCGGGTACCCCTGCACCCCTGTTTTTGCCCGCTGGCATTGGGGGACGCGCCCGGAGGCAGGGCAGCCCCGTGCCCACGCGTGCTGCCGGCTCTCCTGGCAGGATCCGGCCATTGGCACGTGGCCGGAATAATTTGGGCACAGCCTTGGCCCACGGGCAGCTTTCCGGGGCTGGCTCGCAGTGAGCTTCGATGCTCAGCCCCGTTCATTCATCGCCATGGGGCCACCCGTGTTGGCCCACAGGTAGGATTTGGAGGGTCCAACCCCATCATGACACCCCCAGGCTCGTGCCCCCGCACAAGGGGGGCTGCGGGCACCGGCACTGCCAGGGACACGAATCGTCTTGCCCGGGTTCAGGCTCCGGCTTGCAGCGCGGCCGCCGCTGGCCCAGCTCAGCCTGCCTGCACCGCCAAGCCCAGATCTGGCCAGCACGGGTGCTGGGGGGTGCAGGATGGTGCCCCCCACCCATCCCACCATTTGAAGGGTCATGGGCACTGCTGGCACCAACCGGCGCGTCCCCAGCCTGTGGCCAGCAGCCCCCTTGCCAAGGGGTGCAAAGGCTGGTGCAGGAGGGTGGTGGGTGCACTGGGCTGAGGGGGGGCACAGGGGGGTTATGGGGTGTACCGGGAGATTCCTGGGGGTGGGAAAGGCAGCACACCAAAGGGGGGCCAGGGGCCTCACCAGTGTGGTACACTGGGGGCACGCCAGAGGGTTCCTGGGGGGCAGAGCAGGGGACTCAGGTGGGGTCCCCAGGGTGCGCACCCCAGGGCGCAGCAGGGACTCACTGGGGGGAGTCCTGGGGGGCCCCAGGGGGTGCAAATGGGCCTTGCTGTGGGGTGTAGAAGGAGACACAAAAGGGCTCCCTGGGAGGATACCGGGGGGGTGCACCACGGGGTGCAGAGGGGGCTCAT